ATATTTTGAATGAGTATTAAAAAATAAACAAAATAGAATTGACTTTGGATAATATATTCATTGTTACAGACACATTCATTATAGACTTGGAATTAAAGGAGTCCATTAAAGCTACAGGTTATTAACTAATATAATCTGGAACATATGCATTTTTTTATTTATTGAGGAATATTGTTGTTGTTTAAGAATTCTTTAATGATTAAACCATAATTTCTACTTACTTAATTAATGAACCTTCAATATTTATTTCTTAAGATATTGCTGAATAATTAGAAAGTATGGTTTTACCTGTAAAACTGGATATATAAGTAATGTCTTAGTTAAATAATAAATTTATGGAATATGCTTTTTAAATCTAATTGGTTCAATTTGATGTTACAGAAAATTAGTAACCTATCTAATTTCATTAATATATAGATGATTTAATTTTAATATTTCCTTAAGAAAAAGTTATAGATAGAAGTCAAGCATTTTTAGGTCCAAATTTAACATTATCGATTTCATCTAGTAATTCTAATTATCTTTACGCAGGTATTGAAGGAACTAGGTTTGGAGAATGGACAGTATATGATGCAACTTATTCAATAGCATGTTCATTTTCAAGATAATCATAATTATATTGTACTTAATATATTAATAATACAATTATTCTAAAAATAGAAAATCCAGCACATTCATAATAAAGATTCAATATTGAGACTTATTTAAATTTATAGAAGTGTTCATGCATCAAAACTGCATAAAATATCAATGTTCTTATGTAGTTTTAAAGTATTAGTACAATAATTTGATCATTCTTTGCAAGCAACTAAACAAATTACAATACCATTTTAAATGGAGATCCTCAGTGCTGAAATTTTAAAAGATGTCTTATTTGCTATTACTATAGATGGTAAATTGATTGCCACAGATATATTAGAAAAATAGTAATTATTTACTATTTCAAATTATAATTTCAAAGAAATTTATATAAATTTATATGATTTCCCACATTATTTATTTATAGATAATCTAGATGAATTAATTATTTTGGCATATAATGGAAAATAGTCATATGAATTTATTAATTCTATTCAATATCCTATTCAAAACTACTAAAGTAATGCTATTGGTATATTAAGTAATGGAATATATCTTGCTTTTTGTAAAGACAATAACAATTTTATCTATTTCTATCAAAAAATCAATATTTACCTTTAAAATAGTCAATAAAATTATTTTGATGTATATATAAAGGGATACAAAATTTATTAAAATCCTAAACTGGAACATCTTATACAGCCTGAAGGAGTTCTAAATTTTCTATTTTATAAGGACTTAAGATCAATTAATTGAGTTCTATTCTAATAAGAACCAGGCTATTAAATATAAATAGTTTATTTATTCACAAATGTTGAATACTCCATAAATCATCCATATATATGTTAGCCCCACGTTATTAGGAAAATGACTATATTGGAAAACAACATTATTTAATGTTCAGGGCATATAATTAAAATTTTACTTCATATTATAAACTATATTTTTCAATAATTTATGAAAACTATTTATTATTTCCTCGAAATTTGCATCATAAATAGACTTATTACATATAGAATAAAGGGGAAATTAAAATTAATCCTAGAACTCTTTTTTATGGAAACATTTAAAATTATACAGCAAATTGCGATGAATGCAAATCCTTTAATATTACATAACCTATTGCTTTTAGCAATTCATAATCTATAAATATTTCTGTTGAAAATATCTTGAATTCTAATGATTTAGTCTATTTAACAGATTAATAAAATAACTTATATTAATTTTATCCTGAAACTAATCAGTTATCAATGCTATATAATTTATCAGATTAAGGCCATTAAAAATGCAATTTTCTTTTTATCGAGATGCAAAATTCTTTTCCTGTACAAATTTGTACTGGAAAATCAACTATAATATACGCTTATAACATATCTTCAAATTAAATAATCAAACATAATTTGATTGAAGTATGCTGTTTTTATTACTCAAGTTATCAAAATGGTATGTTAACAGTATTTTCTAATGGTAAATTTTAAGGCTTAGATTATTTTGTTTTTTATTTTTGGATTTCCAATAATGAAATTAATCTCAAGTAAATTTTCAATTCTAATGGAGTATGTCATTATTGTTTGATAAGTCCTCTTTATTTAAGTATGTCATAAAATTTTACTAATTAACCTTGTTAAATATTTGGACTTATATCAACTTCAATCGATGGTTCAGGTAATAATGAAATTTTTCTTTTAAAACATTGCATCTCTTCAACAATGAGTTAAATTTTTGGTTTTGAACCTAATTAAACTATTACATCTGGGAATATTTATTTTTAAAGTTCTACTTGGTATTTAATTTAAACAAAATTTATTAGTTTTTCGTTTAGTTAAATTACTAAATAATTTGGATCCTCAGAATAAATTTCTGATAATGTTATTTAAGTCAAATTAATAGTTTCATATTTTAATGTTGTTGAGTTGTATATGGTTTTATTTAATTAAACAACAGGTAATCTCATTAGTTTTGTTTTGGATTAGGGTTTTGATATAGACTTTAACGAAACTGTAGCATCTTTTTAAGTAAGTTAAGGATCAAATGGCTTGTTAATGATAGAAAGTTTTTCAAAAAAGAACACATTCCCTCCTCAAATCTATACATATGAAGCACATAAATTTGAAATACAATACGAAACAAAAAAATTAAATAGAATGATAGGATTCGAAATAATATAAGCTCAGTCTTCCGAAGTATATAGTGTATTATCTGGTAATTATTATGCTATTAGAAATAAAACCAATTCATTATTATATTATGTTTAGAATTATCTTACTCTTTCTGTTGATTTAACTGGTATTGAAAATACATCTATTGAAATTACAAGCTATAATCCATAAAATTAAATAAATTAATCATTATTTATTTAGAATCTATATTATCGAAACAATAGTAATAATAATGAAACACCTATAAATAATAATACAAATATTCCTGATAATCCTATTATTCCTGATAATCCAAATTCAACAGACTCAGATGTTCAAGATAATTCACATCATATAACATTACTTATACTCTACTGTTGCATGATTATTTTGTTATTTATTGTTTTGTTAGCACCTAAATGTTGTTACAAACTAAAAAAGGCATATAAGGCACCTTCTTTTAATTTTGAACTAATTGAGAAGTGAATTATATATAATTATAAAATTAAAAGAATTATAATAAGCTTCTGAAATGAAAAANTGTTAAATATTTGGACTTATATCAACTTCAATCGATGGTTCAGGTAATAATGAAATTTTTCTTTTAAAACATTGCATCTCTTCAACAATGAGTTAAATTTTTGGTTTTGAACCTAATTAAACTATTACATCTGGGAATATTTATTTTTAAAGTTCTACTTGGTATTTAATTTAAACAAAATTTATTAGTTTTTCGTTTAGTTAAATTACTAAATAATTTGGATCCTCAGAATAAATTTCTGATAATGTTATTTAAGTCAAATTAATAGTTTCATATTTTAATGTTGTTGAGTTGTATATGGTTTTATTTAATTAAACAACAGGTAATCTCATTAGTTTTGTTTTGGATTAGGGTTTTGATATAGACTTTAACGAAACTGTAGCATCTTTTTAAGTAAGTTAAGGATCAAATGGCTTGTTAATGATAGAAAGTTTTTCAAAAAAGAACACATTCCCTCCTCAAATCTATACATATGAAGCACATAAATTTGAAATACAATACGAAACAAAAAAATTAAATAGAATGATAGGATTCGAAATAATATAAGCTCAGTCTTCCGAAGTATATAGTGTATTATCTGGTAATTATTATGCTATTAGAAATAAAACGAATTCATAATTATATTATGTTTAGAATTATCTTACTCTTTCTGTTGATTTACTTGGTATTGAAAATACATCAATTGAAATTACAAGCTATAATCCATAAAATTAAATAAATTAATCATTATTTATTTAGAATCTATATTATCGAAACAATAGTAATAATAATGAAACACCTATAAATAATAATACAAATATTCCTGATAATCCTATTATTCCTGATAATCCAAATTCAACAGACTCAGATGTTCAAGATAATTCACATCATATAACATTACTTATACTCTACTGTTGCATGATTATTTTGTTATTTATTGTTTTGTTAGCACCTAAATGTTGTTACAAACTAAAAAAGGCATATAAGGCACCTTCTTTTAATTTTGAACTAATTGAGAAGTGAATTATATATAATTATAAAATTAAAAGAATTATAATAAGCTTCTGAAATGAAAAAATCTCTGAAAATTATATTTAAGCATAATAATTTTTAGAGATTATTAGATAAAAAAAGTTGAACTTAAATGGATTAATTAGTCTAAGTTCTCATTCTTTAGAAAGCTAACATTCACAAGAATAAATTTCATCAAAATCTAATATTAATTTATAATTGTTACACAATACGTTCCAGAAATATTACCTGAAAATTAGCCATAACTTATCGAATAACTATAATCATAAGTTAAAAATTAGAACTTTATGACTTAATACAATTTTTCTAAAAATGTGCTTTAACAAATATCAACTCATTCCAAATTTATTCTCAGTTTTTACCTTATTCTTCTATATAATATAAAACAATCATCAGCATAAATGCATGAATTACCTAGTCAATTTACAGAAAAGTTAGAATTTATGGTTTAGCAATGCACATAGTAAATGTTAATTTAATAATCATATAAATTCAATATTTCATAAGTTAACCTATTTTTCACAATTCCAACCTTAGAAAGTACTTTTTACCCATATTGTAAAATCTAAAACACATTCTAGTCCAAAAAATTTCAACAATCACATTAAGTAAACTAGTAATTAGAATTTAAGATTAGTTGTTATATCAGAATAAAGCCCATAAAAATATGAGGTCTAATGCTTTTGTTATTAATATGAACTTTATTGTTTCATACATCCTGAAAGATGAAAATTAACTAAATATCCAACCATATCATGACTATCGATAATCAAATGTCAGGCTGAAAATTATGGAACTGTTTAACAAGACTTATCAATACATAATCCTGAAGACTAACTTCATTCTTTTCTTCCAGCAATTCTCGTTATAGTTTTACAAATAATTGGTAATTTCATTCAACCACATCCAATTATCTACTTTACTTATTGAAAAGTTAATTGGAATTCATTGAATTTTTGTAAATACTTTAGAGCCTAGAACAACATTTTATAACAAACCTCATTATAAATGCAAGTCAGTGTTAAACATCTATAATCTGATCATATAGTCCAAGTATTCTTAATTTTTTACATAATTAGTGTGTATTGAAATCTATAGCATCATTTTCTCATATTTTTAATTAGCATTAGCTATTCCACCTAAAAATATTCTTAATTATTTAGAAACTTTCTTTCACGGAATTCAAACATTAAGTACATGAATGGAGCATTATCTAAAATTCAATATGTGCACCTATATTTCATCTGTAGATCCAGTACATGTATCCATTTGCTTTTTAATTAATCATATCCAATATATGATGGAATATATATCTTATATTATGGCTTGCTCCACAATTTTTATTTTCTAAATAACCTCTTTCTTTTTTTATACAAGTATCGAAGCATTCTAAATAATGTTGATTTGTTTTATATCTATTCAAGGAATTCTAGCTTACATTTTAATCCATTATTTTCTTGTTCAAAATCAATCATTTCCAATAGCATCTATCTAACAATCTAACTGTATTTATAAGTTTAACATAATAATCTTTGAAAGCTTTCAAAATTATATTTTGTTTTAGAAGATGAAAGGAAATCTCGAAATTCTTTATATATTATTAAGGCCTCTGGAGCATTTTCGAATATTGTTTCTAAATATTTTCCCTCTAAATAAAAACAAATTTGGTTATTGGTTATTTTTTTATTAGAGACATAATGTATTTTATCATCTTAATCCTAACAATTATTTCTTTCTCTTAACAGATCCTCCTTCAATCTAAGCTGCAAATTTTTAAATTCGAGCTCTACATTAAGAATAAGAGTCTAATATTTAAGGCAACTTTTAACATTCATCAGCATCTTTGCATTTTGCTCAAGTTACATTCCAATAAAAATATTAACCTATTGAATTATTAATAATTGCTATTGATTTTGTATAACTTTTACAATCACTTTAATAAAAATATGAAATGCTACAGCTTTTTCATATAAATCATTTCTATATCATAAATCATTAGGTGCTTTGTTCTTACATACCACTATAGTAACCCTTGTTAGGAATTCTTTATATCGATGTGCTGAGTTTCAGAATAAATTTTGACTAGGCTTTGAAAATTAATTCTATCTCCTTGATTGAACTAAGGAGCTCCTAATATCTAATTTTTACACATAATCATTAATTCAAAATATAATGATTCTTCTCACTAATACTTTTCCATAATGTCCTCCTTCAAAATATATTAAAAAAGTAGGATCAACTCATTATAAAAAAATTCTGTAAATATTAATGATTTAAAGTTTGTTAAATAAATAAAGACTATTTTAGTCTTATTCGAAAATTATTATCCATAATCCTATAATATAATTTTATTGGATTGATAATGATAATAATAATGCTGTAAGATCTAACAAATCTATTAGCTTATTAATCGTAAGAGACCAAATTACTTTCTTCTGAGATAATGTATATCATTAAATTATAGTTATTAATGTACCTAATTATTTTTAAAGTAGCTCTGAAAATGATTTGATTCCCAAATAAAGTCTTAAGAAAGCAATTTGAAAATCAATTTCAGAAGTCATCTGATATTCCACAATTCTATAGATTTTTATCTCCTTTTTCCAAATACATATTTATCAATTATTGACTCCCCTTAGTATATTACTTTCTTTAATAGTTAAATTTGAAAATTATATTCAGGAATAAATGGCGTTAATTCAATTCATCACATACAGATAATATCAAAAGTCAACTCAAGAAACTATAAAAAGCATATATTATAGATCATACTAATATTTTTAATAGTATTTGTTGTATTCTATTTATTTAGATTAGTTTTTAGTACCATTATTTAATATTTAATTTCCAAAATTTTTTAATACAATTATAATGATATTCAGAGAGAAAAGGAGAACTTAAGAAAAAAATTTATACATTAAAATATTTAATTTCTGTAAATAATGTAATTTTGACAACTTAATTTTTATAAGAGTTTGCAGATTTTTTCATTCTTTTAGAAAATCAAGCCATTTATGAAATTTGTAATAGGATTCTTGATATTGAATGTTCTAGTTGTACCAATTTAAATGTATACTTCTTTATTTTCAGATATTACTGAATTTTAAAATAATGTATTTCTATATCCTCGTTATGTTCTTACTCTCCTATTTTATCAAATTAGAAAACTTGTTTTGAATAAGCAAAAATTTTCTGATATTTCAATTTAAGCATTTGAACGATAAAATATGATGTTTAGATGTAATGCTTCCTAAGGAAGATTAATGGTTTGTTTAATATTATCTAAAGGAGATGTCATTCTAAGGGATGTTCCTTCATCTATTTTCATAGACAACAAAAATAATTTAATAATCAAAAGATGTAAAACTTAAAAAATATATAGGAGAAAATTAAACATAGATCACCAAAATAAATATATGATTATTTAGGCGCAATAGATAGTCATATACACAGAAATCATAAATAGCTATAACATAATTATTAAACATTTACTTAGTACATCAAATGATATTTCTAGAATAGCCTTCATAAATGAGAATGTCTTTTATATACTTAAAGGGAATAGTTATAAATTATTGTAATTAATCTTAATGTAGTAAAATAAATTGTAATAAACCCTGAATATAATAAATAAATATATTTATTAGCATCTTTGAATCTTCTCAAATAGCTCTTTTATAAGTCTTAGACAAAGGAAGAGATTTCCCCAATCAATCTATTAGAGAAATACCACTAAACACCGACTTAATTTTAGAGACTAACAATTTATCTAAACTATTAATGAGAATATTTAATTAAACTAAATAAAAAGAACAATTTCAAGGAACAATGCATCCAATAGTTTTGAAAAATAAGTAAGAAGTTCATGCAAAAGAATTTCATAAGATGGTTAAAATAAGATGGGTGATTCACAATGAAAAAAACTTATGGGCACTCTATGATATCTCAACGGATGAAAAGATCATGAAGTCTTATGAAACATACACCTAAGACTCTAGCATTGCCAAAATTGAAAACATTTTCCTAGCAGACAGTGGCATCAATATAGGGAATTCAAAGATAACTCTTGGAGGATAATCATGTTCACCTGCTCTCTACCAAAAGCAAAACATGGATATACCCAATAGAACAATATTATGAGGTAGATTTATTTAGCATACAAATCCGCTAATACATGTTCTCTTTAAATAATCAATCAAGAGAATATAACCAGAACCGGAGTAAAAGAATGTGAATCTGCCCATTCTGTCACGATGTTCTTGGTTGGGAAAATGCAGTCCGCCATTATTGTAAAGACTAAGCGAGTACCGACTTTATTAGCCTTTTTGGACAGTCGGCACCCAATAAGAATTGAACATTATAAAATAAATAAATGATGCTACATCAGGCTTTCTTTTCTCAATGAGATTAATATTGCTTACTAAAATGCTCCCGATTATACCCCCAAAAATTATTATAAGCCATTTTATAAAGTTGGTTGAGACTAATTAAGTAACTAGATTTAAACAAATTTTCACTGAAAGGGTTGATACTTTCTAAATTGGAGTTTTGTTATCTTTTTGATGTTCTTAGCATATAATTTGGCTCGTACTTATAATACTTTGAGAACAGTTGAGGTATTTGATTGAAAAATAAGAAAAATTACATTAACATTTAGTTTACAAAGTAAAAGGAAGAAGAAAAAGGAATTAAAAAAGAGGTTTATACTTATAGGGATTCAAGCTAGCATGTATAATACAGATTAATAGATATTTGACGATTCTATTTTAATCGGTTGCTAATAAAATCAATAAAATATAGATGTCTTAAGAATTCAATTAAAGAATAGATAATATTTATGACATAAAAAGTTACTAATCAGAAACAAAAGTTGGTATATTTTTTGATAATGCTGGAAGCTCATTTGATAAAAAAGTTTACACATTGAACTTAACCAAAGCTCATTCTTAAAAAAAATTATGAAGTAGAGAAACTATTTCAACTCTGATTTAACTCAAAACGCAAAAAGAGCATGCAATAGTTCAACTACATAATATTTTGATTTTAAAACATTTTTAGGTAGTATTGAAAATCTATTTTCACAAAATTCATCATCTGCATCATATAAAGAAAAGTTTAACATATCAATAGGGATTTAAATTTAAGAGGATATTTAAATTCTTGGCTTTTAAAATTTAATCGTCTACGTCAAGCATTGTGTACCAACTTGCAGGACTTTGTTCAAGTACTACAAGCTGTCTAATTTTTTTTATGGTTCTCTATAATTAGGTGGAACTTGTACTTGGTACCCTTCTTATTAATTGGCTTAAAGTGGTGTTTGATGCCGATAAGAATGTGAAAGAGATTACTTTATAAAAAGATCAAAAAATATATGTGTACTAGATAAAAGAATAAAATCACTCATTTCATATTTTGAATCTACAACTTTCAGTGCAATTTCTCCTTTTTAATTCGTTCAAGATTCTACAAATTTAAGAAGTTCTCCATTCATCTACTAAATTTGTAGGAAGTTTACTTTACAGTGAAGGAATGAGTTTTTAATTTGCAAATTCGCAATCCTTATAATTTATCAGGCTTAAGATTTCATTTTATATTAAGAGCTTTTAGACTGACAATAAAATATAAACAATATTAGATGATTAAATATAAGGTGAAATAATCAAAACCTCATCTAAATATACTTTTGATAAAATTAAAAAAATTATAGTTCGGGTCTCGCTTGCGCTAATACTTATGATGTAATCAGGATAGAGACAATACTTAGAATTTATTCTAATAATCCTTTACTTATTTTAAAAGGAGAATAATTAACTTTTGGGATTCAGAAATATTATAATTGATAGTGATAATTTAAAAAGAAATTTCGCAGTATGTGGAGATTTTTCGACTTGTCAAAAATGTAACACTAATTATTTGCTATTTTAAAACGGTTGTGTCAGTACTTGTTCTGTGCATTCTTCTAATTGCGTTAATTATTCAGATACTATAGCAAATTTATTTTTAGACTCTTGCTACTTATTTAGCAAAAGGGTTATATAATTTAAATATGAGTATTTGAAAGTAAAAATACTTCCATATCCTTTCCTTTTTATAATAGATGAAGTAATTGAAAGTAATGAAAAAGTAACCATTAAAATAAACAAAAATCCAATAATAGCATTGATATTGTTGAAAATTTCAAATGGAGAATCAAAATTGTGATTTGGAAATGATAATACAGCACTGAACATATACTAAGATATGACTGTTTCATAAACTTTGAAAATCCCTTTAGAAAAGTATTGAATTTTTTTAATTAAGCATTTATTTTGAGTTTATTTTTAAATAAATGAATCATTTTGATAATTTTCAAATTCTTTATGAATTTATTTTCAAGTTTGAAAAGGATAGTTTATAATATTTTGATACTAATATGCAATAGATAAAGTAACTTAATATAGATGCTATTACAGAAAAATAGCAACTTTTAGCATTGAATAAATAAAGTTAATGTAAAATATTTTTAGGATCTTAATTCAAATTGCTTTTCAGTCAAACTTTATTAATACCTCTATTTAACTTAATCAATAACTATTCAACCTAAAAATAACGTAACATCGGTTGCAATGAGACTTTGGTGTAGATGTTTAAGAATCCTGATAAATTTGGGGGGGAAATTAACATTCCATAAACCTAATATAAGATAAAGACTTAGAATAAATCGAATTAATCGCAAAACATTTCCTGTTAACAAATACATCATTGCATCGTTCAATTTAACAAACTAAATTAATTATTTTTAGTAGTTTCAGGTAGCATAAAAGGAGCTCCAAGTCTAATTAAAAATAATTGTGTATAGTATTTCTCTCCACTACAACTTATAGAACAGGATCTTGTATGGGTTCTATAAATTCATATTATGATTAAATATTTAGGTTTGTTTAAGTTAGTGGTTTTATTGTAGATACTAACGATTGTTAATACATATTGAGTTGAAGGAGTAATAGTAAATAAAATAATCTATTCAAGTTTTAATTCTTCTATTTAATTAATTTAACATCATTTTATTCAAATCTATATCCTTATCATCATCATTGATTTCTATTTGAATACATTTTTCTGTTTAAACACCCATGACAAGGATGGTAAGTTATAGTAAAAAAAAATTATTCCTCAATAAAGACCAGCCTTAAATTACATAGGCATACATTCAACTTAACACTTAAATTAGCATTCAAAGCAAGCATCAAATTTAATTAAATTTCCATCATCACACTTTTCATCTCCTACAATAATTCCCTCTCCACAAAGAGTTATGCTTTAATCATAATTGTAACAGCATAGTGAAGTTAGTAAATACTCCATGATTTTCTGTATATAGCATTACTCCATACCATAACACCTCCTAGAACAAATTTAGTTGTAAATATTTTATCCTATTAGAAATTACCATTTGTTTCATCAAAAAACTTGTTTATATCTTAAGCTTCATTTTGGGCCTTATAATATAAGCCTTTTTAAATTTGCAATGTCTTGCTCTAAATTTAATATAGTAAAATTAATCAACTATCCAAAATCATAATCTCTATAGCTATCAATATCAATGCAGTCATTCTTATTTTTAATTTACTTGATTAAGTTTTAAGCCCTTGAAATCTGTTTTTTGAACTTTCAAAATTAATATGTTGAGAATTTTTACTGTTAATCATAATGTGACATTTATGTTATAGTTTTGAATTGAGTTAATAAATTATATAATGGTTGGTTGAATTCACATTGGTAAGATTGTATAATTATGGCTTCTAATTTATTAATAGACTTTCTATCATAAATTATCAAAATTGATGAAAATTATTTGCAAAAGAAATAAAAGGAGAAGATTAAAGAAGAAATAAAATATTATTTTAACCATTTAAAAGAATTTTAAGTAAATCTTCAAGATTATTCAATATAATAATTATACTTTCATTTAATATTAGGAATTTATATAAATTTTAGAACCCAATATTTATCAAGTTTTTAAGCCAATAATAGTTTTTGTTTTTTTCTAAATAATTTATGATAGTCCTAAATGAAATCTTATTAATATCAAAGTTAGAATATGAAAGTAACTAATTTATCAGATTATCTAGGGCTACTTTTAAATTTTTAGAGTTCTTCAAACATGATGAACCCTAAAGTATTCTTGTTAGATATTTTTGTCAAAAAGTCAAATAACTATTATTTTGTAAGCTTTTTTAGTCAATATTATCTTTGTTTATAAAGAAGTTGAATTATATCAAAAATTATTCTTATATATTCTAATATTAATTTTAATAGAATAAATTATCTATAAAGTAAAGAATAGATATTACATACCATAAATTAAAGATTCTATCGTAATTTTTGCTTGACTCTCAATTGCAAACACTTTAACCTAGAAGGATAAAGAAAGTATAGTTTGATAAATAATCATATAAGTTGCCAATTTTTAGATAAAAAAAAACCAACAAAAGTAACCTTAATTATTGATTAATTTAAATATTTTGCTTCAAATCATATTTCAAGAACACAATCATTGTGCTTTTTTATATTTAATGGTTTTGCTAAGAGATTGAGTTTTTTAAATGTAATATTAAATATCATCCCTTTATGACGCATGTGATTATAAAAGACTAAAAATTCCTAAAATGGCAAAATTTAGGCTCTATTACTTATGATTTTACTTACTAAAGTCTTATGATAACAAAATGGATTTAAGAATTTTTAATAAAAGCCCCCCCCCTATTTGAAAAAAGAAGAAGGATTTTTTCTAAAATTTAATTCCATTTACTTACTTTCAAGTATTAAGGAGTGAGCCAGCTTTAGTTAAAATTCTATTCCTTTCTTTTAATGTTTAAGTTAAAACGTAAATTATTTATTATATTTAAAATTAGGATAAACAAGAAAAATGAATGATTATATGAGAACTCAATTAAGTTATTATTTATAATTTACATTATTCATATAAAAATTAGTATTCTTTATTCTTAAAGAATATAGTAACGTAAATGTTGTATTGAATCCTCAGTTCTCAGTAGTTTTTTTTACATTAATTATATTAAATTCTAACTTTACAAAAAGTCTGAAGTTCTAACTTAAAAAATACGTAAGATACTTGTTTTTATTGATTTACAGTATAAAACTTAAAGATAAATTAATATAAATTCAATATTAAAAGAAAAATAGAAAATGCATTGCACTTTTGAATAGAAGGATGCTATTTTTATCCTTTTTGCTTAAGTTAATGATGTAGATGAACAAATATTTAGTTTCATATTAAAAATATTTAAAAAAGAGAAAGTTTTTGACATTATCTAATATCTTTGAGATTATGAAAATAAGAGACATCTAGAATACTAAGTCTTACAACAATAAGAAAATTTAACACAAGTTGATTATTAAAAGAAGTTGTAAGTTGCTAGCAGTAACATTTAAAAAATAATTAATTTCATCAATAAAGTAAAAGATCACGACTTTAATAACAAAGACTATTCCAAAGAAGAAAATTAAGAATCTATAAAAGATCTAATTAAAAGAATAAAGGATGATAAATAGTTTATAGAATTTTTGTAATTTTTAGTTCATCTCACTACCTTAGATAAAACTTTAATATAATGTGGGTCTAATTCATTACACTTATTAGTTTAAATGAAGGTGGATCTTAGAAACAAAAATTTGGAAAATATTAAGGAGCTAATTTTGTTAGATGCAATTTAAGTGGATCAGAATTTAATAATGTAAATATTAGTGGGATAAATTTGAATGGTGCTTTGTTATTTAATTGCAAATGGAATAACTTAAAAATACTTGAATTAAAAAATTTAGATGGTCATGATGGATATGTGAGTTCTGTTTGTATTTCTCCTGATGGAAGTACATTAGCATCTAGTGGGTATGATAAATTTATCCGTTTATGGGATATTAAAACAGGAAAATTAAAAGCCACATTGGATGGTCATGCTAGCCCAGTCTGGTCGATCTGCTTTTCTCCTGATGGAAGTGCATTAGCTTCTAGTGGTTATGATAAATTTATCAGTTTATGGGATTTAAAAACAGGGTAAAAAAAAGGCAAATTGGATGGTCATGTTGATTGTGTATATTCAGTCTGTTACTCTCCTGATGGAAATAGATTAGCATCTGGAAGTAGTGATAAATCTATTCGTTTATGGGATGTTAAAACAGGATAATAAAAAGCCAAATTTGATGGTCATAATAGTTAGGTCTACTCAGTCTGTTTCTCTC